TACACAAGGTTTGACAAAAGGACAAAAGCAGATCAGAAATTCAGACCAAATCCATTCTTTTAATAACAGATAACTTATTCATTAAAAAAAAAAAAAAAAAAAAAAAAAAAAAAGATCATTGGCTATAAAGTATTAATAATAGTTATAGTATAGTTTAATGTATATATTATTTATCCACGGGATGAATGTGCAAAGCAATAACGATGGAATTGTTTTTATATAATTATTATTGATAATGATGGAAATAATAAAGATAAACGAATAATAATAATGATCATAATAATAAAGGCAAAGATAATAACAATAATAATAATAATAATCATAATGATAATGATCATAACAATAACGACAATAATAATAGTAATGATAATAATGTTGGAATAATAATAATGATGATAATAGTGTTCAAGATAATGATAATAATAAGAATCACAAAACATCGACAAAAGATAGTGACGTTAATAATATGATGACAGTCATAACAACAAATAACAATAATAATATCAATTACCACTAACAGTATGAACAGAAATCGTTATAAATAAATCTACGTATAAATATAATTTCCACCTTTTCACTCTTTTACATATAATTCTTTATTAAGTTTTCTAACCTGAATAGGAAGAGTCTGAAATTGAAATAGAAAGGGAGAAGGAGGAAAGAAGGGAAGAAGGAAAGAAGGGAAGAAGGAAGAAGGGAGAAGGGAAGAGGAGAGAATGGAAGAAGGGAAGAATGGAAGAGGGGAGAGAAGGGAAGAAGGGAGAGGGAAGTGGAAGAATGGAAGAAGGAAGAAGGGAGAGAGGAAGAAGGGAGAGAGGAAGAATGGAAGAAGGGGAGATGGGAAGAAGGGAAGAAAGGAAGAAGGGAGAGAGAGTGGGGGAATAGAGGAAAGGAAGAAAGGTTCGTATGAGGAAGAGGGGAAGGCGAGGGAGAACATGAGAACTGAGACAGAGACAGAGACAGAGAGAGAAGGGTGAAGTGAAGTGAGTAACAGCGTGAGACAGAGACAGAGACAGAGACAGAGAGAGAAAGAGAAAGAAAGAAAGAGAGAGAGAGAGAGAGAGAAGAGAAAGAAAGTAGAAGAAAAAAATTAGAAAAAAAAAAAGAATATGCGAACGAACAGTAAAGAGATAGGAAGGGGGTGCGAAGGAGAGAAAGACAAAAAAAAAAAGGGGGGGGGGGGAGAGCTATCCTTCGTGTCTTGAGGGGCGGGGGGGGGGGGGGGTCCTTATCTCCTGGGGCTGTTGTTAAGGAGTTACACATGCCATGAACACACAGCGGAAGTACTCGCGACGCTGTGGAAGGAGAGAGAGAGAGAAAGAAAAAATGATAATTATGATGTACAAATAAATCTGTGACTAATGATGTAACAATAAAGGTGTACAAATAATCTTTGATTTAAAATGATGTACAATAATATGTACAAAATAATGATGTACAAATAATCTATGACTTAATGATGTACAAATAATCTATGACTTAATGATGTACAATAATGATGTACAAAAATAATGATGTACAAGTAATCTATGACTAAAGATTAATCACAAGATGACGAACCTCGGATTAATAATTAATAATTGATAATTAGTCACAGCATAACGAAGCCTCACAACTTGAATCTATAATTGATAATAATCGTCAAAAATTCACGTCTAATTACATCACAAAAACTCACCATAAAGATTAATGGTTCACAAACAATCACGTCATTGCACAATACACAATAACATGATCAATCACATTTACAAAACACAATAATCGGTAATGAAAAAATAATGATAATCAACCACAACATAAAAAAATAATCAACAACCAATCATTTCTAATCAACGTCCAATCATTATTCAACTACAAATCATTAATTTAATACAATCACTCAACAACCAATCATTTCTAATATCACTAATCAGCAACCAATCATTTCTAATCAACAACCAATCATATTCAACTACAAATCATGTCTAATCAGCAACCATCATTTCTAATCAGCAACCAATCATTTCTAATCAGCAACCAATCATTCTAATCAGCAACCAATCATTTCTAATCAACAACCAATCATTTCTAATCAGCAACCAATCATTTCTAATCAGCAACCAATCATTTCTATCAAATCAACAAAATCATCTTTAGCAATCAATTTCTAATCAGCAACCAATCATTTCTAATCAACAACCAAATCATTTCTAATCAACAACAATCATTTCTAATCAACAAACAATCATTTCTAATCAACAAACAAAATTTCTAATCAACAACCAATCATTATCAACTACCAATCATTTCTAATCAGCAACCAATCATTTCTAATCAACAACCAATCATTTATAATCAACAACCAATCACAACATCATGGAACTCACAATGAGAATCATTCATCCACAATTACCTACAACACTACGGTCATGTTTGGATGTTGTTGATAACTCCTCACAACATCACGAAACTCACCGTGTGCGCCGGATGTGTTTGGATGTTGTTAACTCCTCACAACCACGAAGCTCACCCTATTTGGATGTTTTCCTCCTCACAACAACCACGAAACTCACCATATTTGGATGCCGTTTCCTCCTCACAACACCACGAAACTCACCATATTTGGACTTGCCGTTTCCTCCTCACAACACCACGGGAAACTCACCCCATTCCTTGGCATATTTTTGATGTCGTTAACCAACTCACAACATCACGAAACTCACCGATTTCCCTGCCATATTTTGATGTCGTTAACCAACTCACAACCAACACGAACTCACCATATTTGGATGTCGTTTCCTCCTCACAACACCACGAAACTCACCCCATTTCCCTGACACATTTTGTTGTCGTTAACCAACTCACAACATCACGAAACTCACCCCATTTCCCTGGCATATTTTGTTGTCGTTTCCTCCTCACAACCACGAAACTCACCATATTTGGATATCGTTTCCTCCTCACAACACCACGAAACTCACCCTATTTCCCTGGCGAAACTCACCCTATCTCCCTGCCATATTTTGTTGTCGTTAACCAACTCACAACACCACGAAACTCACCGTGTTCGCCGGGCATGTTTTGATGTTAACAACTCACAACATCACGAAACTCACCGATTTCCCTGGCATGTTTTGATGTTAACAACTCACAACATCACGAAACTCACCATATTTGGATGTCGTTTCCTCCTCACAACACCACGAAACTCACCCATTTCCCCCTGCCACATTTGTTGTCCGTTTCCTCCTCACAACACACGGAACTACCCTATTCCCTGACATATTTGTTGTCGTTCCTCCTCACAACACCACGGAACTCACCCTATTTCCCTGCATATTTTGTTGTGCGTTTCCTCCTCACAACACCACGAAATCACCCCCATTTCCCCTGCCATATTTTGTTGTCGTTTCCTCCTCACAACACACCGGAACTCACCCTATTTCCCTGCCATATTTTGTTGTCGTTTCCTCCTCACAACACCACGAAACTCACCCATTTCCCTGACATATTTTGTTGTCGTTTCCTCCTCACAACACCACGAAACTCACCCCATTTCCCTGCCACATTTTGTTGTCGTTTCCTCCTCACAACACCACGAAACTCACCCTATTTCCCTGACATATTTGTTGTCGTTTCCTCCTCAACTCACCACACGAAACTCAATTTCCCTGCCAATATTTTGTTGTCGTTTTCCTCCTCACAACACACGAAACTCACCCCATTTCCCTGACATATTTTTTGTGTGTTTCCTCCTCACAACACACGAAACTACCCCATTTCCCTGACATATTTTTTGTCGTTTCCTCCTCACAACACCACGAAACTCACCCCTATTTCCCTGCCATATTTTGATGTCGTTAACCAACTCACAACACCACGGAACTCACCCTATTTCCCTGCCATATTTTGTTGTCGTTAACCAACTCACAACACCACGAAACTCACCGTGTTCGTTCGCCCGGGCATTTTTGATGTTGTTTTTCCTCTCACATCACCAAACTCACCCATTTCCCTGACATATTTTGATGTCGTTTTCCTCCTCACAACAAACACGAAACTCACCCCATCCCTGCCACATTTTGTTGTCGTTAACCAACTCACAAACATCACGAAACTCACCCATTTCCCTGACCTATTTTGTTGTCGTTCCTCCTCAACAACACCACGAAACTCACCCCATTTCCCTGCCACATTTTGTTGTCGTTAACCAACCTCACAACATCAGAACTCACCCCATTTCCCTGACATATTTTGTGTCGTTTCTCCTCACAACACACGGAACTCACCCCTTTCCCTGACATATTTTTTTGTGTTTCTCCTCACCAAACACACGGAACTCACCCCTATTTCCCTGCATATTTTGTTGTCGTTAACCCAACTCAACAACACCACGAAACTCACCAGTGTTCCGCCGGGCATATTTTGTATGTTGTTTCCTCCTCACATCACGAAAACTCACCCCATTTCCCTGACATATTTTTGATGTCGTTTCCCTTCCTTTCACAACACCACGAAACTCACCCCATTTCCCTGCCACATTTTGTGTCGTTAACCAACTCACAACACCACGAAACTCACCGTGTTCGCCGGGCATGTTTTGATGTTGTTGACGATGGCGGTTCGAAGTTCGCGCTCCTCGTCTCCAGAACGGCCAGCACCCGTCGACCAGCGCCGTGCGGTTCGGCATGGCCGTCGGGGGTGAACTGAAGAGGTCGGGGAGGCAGTTAGGTATTTTGTAGAGGGGGAGAGCGGAAGGAAGGAGGGAGAGAGGGGGAGGGCAGGGAAGGGGAAGGAAGGAAGGGGGAGGAGCGGATGGAACAAGGAAGGGAGAGAGAAGAGATGAAGGGGAAAGGAAGGGAGAGATGGGGGGAGGGAAGAGAGATGGGGAGAGGGAAGAATGAGAGAGAGATGGGGAGGGAGGGAGAGAGAGATGGAGGAGGGAGGGAAGGAGGGGAAGGAGGAGAGAGAGATGGGGGGAAGGAGGGGAGGGGAGGGAAGGAAAGGAGAGAGAGATGGGGGAAGGAGGGGGGGGAGAGGGAGAAGGAAGGAGAGAGAGGATTGGGGGAAGGAGGGAAGGATGGGAGGATGGGAAGGAAGGAGAGGAGAGATGGGGGAGGATGGAAGGGGAGAGGAAGAAGGAGAGAGAGAGATGGAGGGAGGGAAGGGGAGAGGAGGAAGGAAGGAGAGGATGAGGGAAGGGAGGGAGGGGGAGAGAGAGAATTAGGGGAGGAAGGAGGGGAGAGAAGGAAGGAAGAAGAGATGGGAATGGGGAGAGAGGGAGAGAGATGGAGGGAGGGAGGGGAGAGAGAGATGAGGGAGGAGGGAGGGGTGAGAGGGAAGGAAAGAGAGAAGAGATGAGGAGGGAGGGAAGGGAGAAGGAAGGAAGAGAAGAGAGATGATGGGGAGGGATGGGAGGGCGGTAGAGGGAGGGAGGGAGGGAGGGGGAGAGGAATGAAGGAGGAGAGCGGAGGGGGGAGAGAAGGAGGAAGAGAGAGAGATGTGAGGGAGAGAGGAGAGGAGGAAGGGAGAGAGGAGATGGGGAGGGAGGGACGGAGGCCGAGAGAGAGAGAAGAGGAGGAGAGGGAGGATGGAGATGGTGGAGGGAGGGATAGCGAGGGAGAGAGAGAGAGAGAGATGGAGGATGGGAGAGATGGGGGGAGGGAGGGAAAGGAGGGAGAGAGGAAAGAGAGATGGAGGGATGGCAGAGATGGGGGAAGGAGATAGGAGGGGAGGAGAAAGGAGAAGGAGACTGAGGGAAGATGGGGAGGAGGGAAGTGGGGAGAGAGAGAGAGAGACGAGGAGGGATGGGAGAGGGAGGGAGAGAGCAGAAGAGAGTGGAGGGGAGGGAGAGAGAGAGAAAAGATTGGGGAGGGAGAGAGGGCAGGGAGAGAGAGGATGGGAAGAGAGAGAGAGAGTGGGGAGGAAGAAAGGGAGAGAGAGAAGGGGGAAGGAAGGATAGTGGAGTCGAAGGAGGAAAAAAAACAGTTAGATATGTGTGTGTAAAGACAGAGAGAAAAAGATAAATATGTATCCACTTACATATGTATAAGACACAAACACAAATACACACTCGCATGCAAATATAACATAGACCCTCCCCACACCTATTCCCACCCATCTCCACCTGTCTCATAATTCCCCCATCCCTCCCTACCCTTATAACCCCCCCCCCCAACCAACCTACAATCGCCCCCCTCCAACCTATAACCCCCCCTCCAACCTATAACCCCCCCCCCTTCAACCACTACAAACACATAAGCACATCTTTTCACAAAAAGTCAATTCACATGTCCCATATTCATGTCATTTTTTTTGTTTTGTTTATTTGTTTGTTTCTTTCATATCAGGACGTGGTGCCTTATTTCTTTAAATGATTAAAAAAGAAAACAAAAAAAATAGAATAAATGGCATTTGATGATAAAGAAAGAAAGAAAGGAAAAATGGAATAAAATGGAATTGTTAAAAAAGAAAAAAGACAAAGAGAATAAATGGAATTTGATTTGATTGAGAAAATAACTGAATAAAAATAGAAAGTTTTAACTGATAGATTATGAGCAATGTTAGAAAACGTTGATATATAATCCTGAAGTTTCCATATTTTTGGAATCTATTTCTATTCAATTTCCATGCATTCCATCCCATATTTAAGGTAATGTTAACAGAAAACCATTGTGTATTACATTGTTCAAAAAATTTGTCACATTGTATTAGTTAGAAATTAGAGAATTTATTGACAGATTTTTATTTATATTATTGATATTCTATTATGATATCATAGATCATACATTATCTCTTAAATTTTCTTAAATCGTGACTAAATAATTACCATTTCTTGTTACATAGCTTTACTTTTACAGCTCTGTTATTATTCAATTGACTTATCTAATTGTCAGTGTATTATAATGTTGATCGTTATTTAAAATTTTGATCCACCGATGATGGTTAAAAATAACTCGAAACGTTTGAAGTAATTTTGTATTGTTGAAATTAAAGTTAATTGCCTTAGTTTGTGGTCAACCTCTTAAGAATGTTCTTCCTGGTAACTTTAATTATGAAGTTTATACATGCACCACATAACACATATATACGGTATGTGTGTGTGTGTGATTGTGTGTGGTGTGTGTGTGTGATTGTGTGCGTGTGTGTGTGTGTGTGTGAATGTGTATATATGCATACATCTCTCCCTCTCTTGCTCTATCTTTCTTTCTCTCGCTCTGTCTTTCTGTCTGCATGCTTGTCCTTCCCTCCCACCTTCCCACCTACCCTCTCCCTCCTCCCCTCCCTCCTTCCTTACCTCTTTCCCCTCTCTCCCACCCCTCTTCCCCTCCACCCTTCCTCCCACTTTCCCTCCCTCTATTTTCTCTCCTATCTTCTACCTTCCTCCCCCATCTTTCCCTCCTTCCCACCCTCCTTCTTTCCCTACTTCCCACCCACCTTCCCTCCCTCCATTTTCCTCCTATCTTCCAAACCCCTCTTCCCCTCCCTCCTTCCTTCCCACCACCCCCACCCACCTTCCCA